AATGGAGCAACAGCAACACCTTGCTCCTCATTGTAGTCTTGAAGCACTTCAACCATATCATACTGACGTATGACATCATTTGGAGTGAGCTCGTCCCAATCAGAAGACCAGTTCCTATATAAAGCCCAGACATCTCCCTTTTTTGGAACTATTTGAATAACCCCCTTTGCACCTTTGTTCCAACTAACCCTGTGCGAAAAAGAATTGAGTGCCCTATTCACTTCATATTTGCCAATTCTGAAAACTCCACAAGTTTTTGCAAATCCACGGCCCACCCAATTTTGTGGACCAAATTCGCTGCTGCTTTTGGAATGTAACCAACTAATCTGAACTTCGAAGGGCTTTCTGGACAACACTTTATGAATAAATGCATAAAAACGAGGCATACCATCCTCGTTGTCATAAGAAGCCCAAACCTGGTTCTTGGTAAATGATTTCTCCACCCTGTCTTTGTCAAAATCGTAGAACTCTGGATCAGGGACATCCATTGTCACAATGGCAGCAGCTTCTGTGTTAGAGCCAGTAATTGAAGCAGAAGGCAAGCTTCCCAGTGCATCTGGCTCGGGGGTACTCATGGAGGCAGTTGTATCTGAAGACTTCTGTAAAGCAGCCACATTCCACTGCTGTAACTTCTTGCGGATTTCGGTCCTTGCCTTTACCATCAGCATCTCTCGGATTTCTGACTGCGACAGTTCCCTTAAACTCTTCGGCAAGTTGTCGACTTTCTCTGCTCCAGACTTAGCCATTTGATTTCCACGAGAATTTCCACGTCCACTAACTCCACGGGCCCGAGTCTTTACATCTTTCCCAGCGACTCTTGCTTTATGTTGATCAACGCGTCTCTTCTTTGCTGTCTTATCTGCTTTACCAGAACTGGAGACATTATAAGATGGTGAACCAGAATCAGACTTCTTAGAAGGATCTCTTTTCAGGAACTCTTTATGCACTTTACCAGTAACAGCCTCTTCGCGTCCTCTCTTTAAATTTTCACCCATCTGTTGGAAAGTAAATGTAGGTTGAGCAGCAGCGGTGGTGGCCAGTGTAGACATACTTCTCGAACCACCAAATTTGAAAGATGAATCCTGTGGAACCTTTGCAGGTTGGGCAGCAGCGGTGGCTGGTGTAGACATACTTCTGGAACCACCAAATATGAAAGATGAACCCTGTGACACAGTCGCAGGTTGAGCAGCAGCGGTGGTGGCCGGTGTAGACATACTTCTGGAACCACCAAATTTGAAAGATGAATCCTGTGGAACCTTTGCAGGTTGCGCAGCAGCAGTGGCTGGAGTAGACATACTTCTAGAACCACCAAATACGAAAGATGAACCCTGTGGGACAGTCGCAGGTTGAGCAGCAGCAGTGGCCGGTGTAGACATACTTCCTGAACCACCAAATTTGAAAGATGAACCCTGTGGAACATTTGCCTTATTGTTCAAGCCAACACCTGGAAACCCAAGAGGTTCAGTTTTTGGGATCGGAGGGAAATTTCTTCCAGAATCAGAGGAAGCATTGTTACCAGGATGGCTACCTTGTTCTTGTGGGTACTGGGACCTTGGGGTGGATGTAGGGTTGTTATTCACGGGTAGAGAAGGCATCTCTGCTGCCATAAAGGGCTGAAGACACTTATAACAGACAAGAATACAGTTTCGGTGCTCAGCCAAATACTGATACTTTATAAGACATCTTGTGCATTGAGTCCAAAAGGTAGCTGTAGGAGGTGCAGAATCAGTCTGGGTATTAACTGGAACAGAAGGCTTACTCACGGTTGATGATGTGTTGGTAAAATTTTCATTACCATACTCCTTGACGCCACCTGGTGGATTCTGACCAGCACCCTTTTGATACAATGCCCTTATGTTCTGCTTCTCATCATAAGCAGCTCGCTTAACCTTATCAGAGAGCAAACTCCAAGCTTCAGAGAGAATCTTAAATGCGCCATCTGCCCCAACTGCCTTGTTCTTATCAGGGTGGAGAGCAAGTGCCAATTTCCGATACTGTTTCTTGATTGTCTCAGCATCAGCCAGGGGATGCACTCCGAGGATCTTGTACCAGTCCAATTCTCCATTCACCTTTCTCTCAGCAGCAGCATAAATATTGAGTGTTTGTAGAAACTGCGAAAGGCCTTCAAGTCTGGGAAACAGACTCTGAGCCTTGGAAGCAAATCTCTTGGCTCCCAATATGTCATTTTCTGCCAACTTCTGCTCCGCCATTCCTTTCGCCTTAATTGCCTCATCCTTGTTGCTTTCCATATCTACAAGGCCTTTAATTCAGGGAAGTCCAATCTTAGTCTCCCAAGATCAGATGCAACCTATGTTAGTATTTGAAGACCTGGCCACAAAAGAGATGTAGGTAAGTCACTTCAGCAAAATCAGAGTAATAATGACAACCAAGCAGCACTTTTGAGTCCAAAATAAATGGGCAGAAATAACCAGAGCATGAATTTCTCAGCACTCAAATTGCATCATTTAACCAATACATCAAAGAACTTAATGCATCTCAAAAAAAGTGTAATGAATAGCTTCCAAGAAAAGCGCAAAGCACTGAAATCGACAAAACTAGATTGCCAAATCTCAAGCATGAAGCAGTAACAACCTGCAGTGCGTATTACTTTCTTTAGCCTTACAAACTAATTCCTCTTCCTTTCTATCTACATGTTTGTTAGAACTAAATATGCAATCTGACAATCTAAAGAAACAGACATGGCAATACAAGAGAGACTAACTTTCCTTGGTGATTCCAATTTTTTTTATACCACCATAATCTAATAATAATGAATGAGAAAGGTAACATCAAAATAATAACATTTCATGTCAGCAACCTTTTAAAAATCCCTATGCTAAATTGGTGCGAAAACCACAGACATCAATGCATCTTTCCTTTCCATTTCCATGTTCATCAAATGTAAATATCATAATCAGCCACTCCAAACATAACAAAATGGCAATACCCTACAGTCTGGCTACAAATTTCTTCATGTATTATCACCAACTACTGCCATCAAATGAGAAAGGTAACCAATAAAACAATAACACGTTAGACCAGCGAGCTTTTGGAAACCCCTCGGCTGAATTAGATTAAAAATTACATTTAAACAGTCGTTGGCATGAAAAGAAGAGATATATATTTTAAATCAACCTGCAGAAAGATCTGTTCAGGAATTTGGAAAACAGCAGAGCAAGCAAGTCATTTTACACATGCATATCATATGCCTAAACGAATCATGTAAAAGAACCTTCAATCCCCTTCAAACAATTTGAACCAATCCATATAGGGTTCCTAATGAAAAGAGATTAACATTAAACTTCAGAACTTCCCTGCATTATGAAAACATTCAGTCATCACATACTTTGGCAGGATCCCAGATAAAAACTAAGTTCCAATTAATAAAACAAACAATCAATCCCTGATAAGAAACAATTACCAACGACGAGTAGCCAAAACGAAAAAAAAAAAAAAACATGTGCACACATTGACACGCTTATAAACAACACACACACATACAAAGACTATTTACCTGCATTCATATGGACTTAAACAGATAAAATTGAACAAAAACCATTAATCCCACGTAGACAAAAGTTCAGAATCCACAAGCAAAACCAAGTTCACCAAATTCAACTAAAACCCCAGCAATCACCCACGCAGACACCCGCAAACACAAAAAATCACCGTAATCAGCAAGCGAATGACAAGCTCTTTAACATAGCATTTGTTACAGAAAATGAAAAATGATGAGCATGCATAGATATATAGATACAGAAGAATACAGAACAGCAGATAAAAACAATAAAAATTACCCAGTTTTGCAATGAGGTGAATTGGCTGGACGCTACTGTGAATTGGCTGCAAAGTTGATTACTTTTGGGTGAACTTGAAACATCTCAGGTGAAAATGATCATCAAAAGAAAGTATACTTGTTGAATTTCATGGTTGAATGAAGAAAGGATGAATGTAAGAAGAAAAAAATCGCTGAAAATGTTGATAAATTGCAATGTACAAAGGAAAAAGGGATGAACTTTTGTTGTATTTAGTGCAGTTTGTTTGCCATGCTGACGAGCCCAAGCTGCCTATTGTTCTGTTTGGACTTGGAGGCATTCATTGTTAAAACCCCAACTGTGGTTAGTATCTAACCGCGGTTAGTGGGAAGAAGCTGTCTAACAAAGCAAAAACGCAAGTTAGTTTAGATTATCTAGATTTTGCAATAAATGAAATTCAATTCACCTTTTCTCTTTTCGATGATGATTTTCATTTCTCTTCTAAAAAGTTTCTTGAAATGTCCGCCGAGATTTTTTTTTTTTTGGCATTTTTTCATAGTTAACGATAAGTAGAATGACTATATCTCGTTTCTTTTAAAACAGCTTTGTTATTTATTGAAATTCTTGAAAACTCATTATATGTAGCTTAAGTTCATTATTACGGAAGTTAATATAATGCAATTAATTAGAAAAATTTAGTGCAGCTGCATTGTTGAATTGATTCCTAATTAAGTCGATTCTTGAAATTGTCAAATTTGGTAGAGAACTTAATTTCAAAGGTGAAGCTCATCCATGAGGTGAATTTTGTTTGATATCTGAATCCATTCACACCTGGATTTAGGTAGCATTTAATACTTACCCCAAATGCAACCTTGGTTATCTTCCGTTATCAGAGAGGACGAAGTCCCATGTGATGCACTAATTCATGAGGATAAGCATAGCATGCCACATAATACACTTCTTCAGATCAAGCTTTGAGAAAAACATTGACACAAATGAAAAGTGATGGTAAATAACCAAGTGAATGTGTGTACCGTGTGCATGTAGCAAAACACCGTGCGACTGCAGTGTCCATGCCTAACACCATGTTGTACTTGTACACTACTCAGAAAGGTCAGAGGCTCATGTGTACAGCCATTCTAGCCCCAGTTCCACCATCATCTAGCACTTATTTACAAGAATCTAAAACATTCTCCTGAATCAATCAAACAAGAAAAGAAAGAAAGGGAAAAAAAAAATGCAGACTAAAGAAGGCAAATGATGACACGTTTCATAACATTATTGTAATACAACGTTTGGTTGCTTTTACATCACTTAGACATCCTGCTGATCTCTGTAACAATGTATCCAAATTAAACATTGGCAATAATTTATTCATCTTCAGTGCAATAAATGACACAACACAAGTCTTACATATGAACAAAACATTCAAGAAGAAAACAGTTTGGAAGGCCTCCATGGTTTTAACTTCCATTGAGCATAAAATTTCAACGGGCATGTTCCCAAGTCTTTCTGTCTTTGCAAATCCAGACCATAACGGTTCAGCTTAGAGCAATCAAAAAAGAACCCTTACTGCTGAAGAAAATGCTTGTAAAGAAGTAGGTGCTTGGAAGTATCTCCAACCCTCCAATAAACCAATGCAGGAAATCACCTAACTCATGCAGGCACCAAGACCGTAATCCGTTGAATCTAAAAGCAGATCAAGTCTGAGGGTTTGCATAAAGTTGAGTGTAGACCCTCTTCGTTCGATGAACAACAATTAGACTCAGCACAACAGAAATTGCACAGAGTCCTGACATGATTCCACAAGTGATTGAGTAGCAGATGGTGCCGTTGCAAGTGAGTGACTCAGCTTCCTCAACACGTCCTATGGGATCCAGCATCTGATGTTGTTTCTTGGCCTGATAGTCATATATTCCACTGGCAATAACACCAGAAAAGATTAAAGAGCCAGCTGGGCTTGCCAATGTCAGGAAATTATACAAGGAACCGAAGCTTTTCAATCCAAACAATTCAGACACTGCAGCTGGCACGATTGCCCAGTGTGCCCCATATCCAAGTCCAATAAGCACCGAGACTACATAAATTGCCCCAGGCCAACCCATAGCATAGAAGAAAAGTGCAATTGCCATAATGACCTGAACCACAGCCATTGCCACTGGTCTTGGGTATGCATAGTGTCTAAGAAAGTACTGAACATTAGAAGCAGACATAGAGCTATAAAAGGTGAGTACAATGCATTTTAAGCAAATAAAATCTTCTACCTTATAATGTTCTCAGAGAAGTATCCTCCAGCAATACGACCAAGGAAATTAAAAATGCTAATCATTGAGACAAAGATGTGAGTATTGCTGTAACCAAGGGATTGGCACATCTGACCAAGGTTATCAATCACTGTCAACCCAGAACCAGAAGCTAGTACCAATGAGATAAAAATAAGCCAGAAATCTGCCTTCACAAGTGCCTGCAACAAAGTAAAATCCTCTCCTCTACGAGGACCTTTTCTCCGCTTAACCCTTACAGCTCCTTCTGCAGCTGCTTGAAACAGTTTAGCTTGCAAATGAGCAATTCTTTTATGCCTCTCTGATGCTGGAAGTGAATCAACATCCGAGGCTTTCTCATCTTCCACCTCACTGAAAATTACCTCATTCTCATCCTGTCCCATTTTACCAGCTTCCTGTTTCTGGGGATCAAGAAGAAGGCTCTCTTCTGTTGTGGGTCTTGGTTGCGAGAAGAAAACCAACATAATGGGGATTGCAATAGGAAGTAAAATGAGAACAATTAAAATAACAGTTAATATTATGATCAATGTCTGGTTCAGACTGACTAAATCTTCAAGTACCAATACTGTCAAGAGATAAGCAGCTAGAACAAGGCAAATACTGTAAGTAAACAAGAAGCTTGAATTATCACTTTGTCTAAATTGCTTGTGACCTCCAACTGGTCGAACAATGAACATGAGAGCACTTATAATCACAGTCGGACAAACAGCAACCATAAAGATTAGTGATGCTTGATTGGGAAAGTTCATCATGGCATATATTTGAGTAAGAATTGCACCACTTAAGCCAGCAAATCCCTTTAGTATGCCAACGACTGGACCACGGCTTTTGGGGAAGTTCTGAACACAAGAAACAAGAGCTCCTGTATTGAAGTACGTCTCACCATTTGTTCCGACAAATATCAAAATGCATAGCTGCAAACAAATAACCATAGTCAAGGATAAAATATAGAAAAGAAAACAACCAAAAGACTACAAACAGTTGCTTCATGCAAAGATCAAAGTGATCAACCAGGTTCCTAAAGTGGTTGAAGAAAAAAAGTGCAAGAATGAATACCACTAGTCATTTTTTTCCCCAGGTTGCAGAAGCAAGATGCATTAAACAGTCCCATATACTCAAAAGCACAAGACCTTGTTGACTATGCTACCAATTCACACCTAAATGACTACATTATCATGAAAACTCCAGAAGACATCCCAGAGGCAGCATGTAAGATTGATACCTAAAGAGTTCGGGACCTTTACGGTAAACTTTGTAGACATTAGTCTGCTAATGTGTCCACTGAGGTCAAGGATCAAGTACTCAATTTGCCCATTTGATATATTGAACTTTTACTGGTACTTCAGCATATTGTTCCTTCCTTAAGTCATAAGACTGTTTTTGGCAAATAATTTGACCATCTTAAACTTCTCATAATTTCAATTAAAGCCTTCTTTGTGCCAAAATAGTATTTAATCTGAACTTAAGCATTTTCAACATAGTATATTCATAGAAACAGTAAAGGATAGAGTAATGCTGGGAATCAGAAGCTAGAGAAATTAGAACACCTCAAAGTTCTTCTGGTAGAGTAGCTGTCTAGCCAAGTAGATATATTGGAGTCTCATCATGACTGATGCAACAGCAAAGAAAACTTTTTACTTCATCAAGAATTATGAAAAGACTAGCTCATGTAAGCATAGCTAACAAGACAGCAAATCATACCTAGGCATCTTCTATACACTAAACATGTTCATCTTTATTTATATAATTTGAAGTCGTCATTTCCACCAAATCTAGCCAATGGCATAGCTACAGAGGTCAATTATGTCGAAGGTTCAATTCACTCAAAAATTTTTCCTTGTTTTTCTAGTTCTTTCTCTTCCTCTTTCTTTCCTTCTTTTCATCTTTCCCTGTGAAATGTCTTAAACCATTGCGAAAGTAAGAAAAATATACAAGAAAGATGGTTTCACTGTGGTATTACAGAAAGTGGGTGTTCAAATTTGAAAAATGCGTTCTAAGTCTAGAGTAAAGTTTGTCAAACATGAGCTCAGCTGGTTTTAAAATAAAAAAATGAAAATCTTTTCATGTGATCTCATTTTGTGAATTTGATCATGCAACTTACTATTTTCTTTCAAGATGAGAATGCATATCCAAAAAAATTGGGAAAACCAGACATTTGACAAATTTGAGCTCCTACACAAAACCTTAATACAAGACTGCCAGCAGCATTAGGTAAAATCTTTGCTGAGAATTTTAAACATTTTATCAAAGGCACCAAGGAGGTGCAACCGATTTACAGAAGAAAACTTATCTCTTGAGAGACCTATGTGCTCAGCCAATAAAAGTCAGCGGACGACAGGAAATCTATTAAATGTAAATTCCTGAATCTGTTCAATGAAACATTTTTCATGTGTTCTATGTTCTTCTAACTCCCATTAGCAGCCCCATCTTTTCTTTCTGTTCAAAATGACCAGAAGATGCATAGTTGCAAAAACTAGTCAACTGTAAAGTAAATCAGAAATTACACGTGCTCCGAAGCTGTAAAGAAAATGCATCTTTACCAGATAAGCATTTTATGGTCAGCAGACAGAATTTGACACGTGAAGCTCCAAGGAGATTATTTTGCAGGTATAAAATGTAAACCCCTCAAACCATCAGGTAGCAAAAAGTTTCTGATGATCTACAGTAAACGGAAGAGCAAGGTATGGAGAGAGTGGATAACAGTTCATGCAGAAAAGAATATACTTCATCTCACTTTTGTAGTTTTTAATACAACAACGATAATCTAGATAACAATGTTGATAACAAGATTAGTCAGAGAATACAGATGGGATTTTGATCTGGAACCATGGACCATGTAAGGAAGTAAACAGTTCCATTGTAGAAGTGCAATGAATCTTCTCTGGAACTATACCATGAAATTTGCAGTTAAAACATTCTTGGAAAGCAGCAACTATTGTAATGCAAAAAACTAGAAAAGAACAAGAATATAATTATGATTTCACTGAGAAGTGAATGAAGCGATCAGCCCTTGGCACAACCAAAATATATCCAAATTTTAGAGTAATACTTGAACAGTCACTTGATGGCCACGAAAAGTAAGCTACATAATTGCCTTGTCAAATTGGTAGAAGCTAAGGGAAACTGAAGCAGCAGAGATAAGTTACACACTTGGCTAATTGAAACAAGAAAATGAATACCAGGGGAATGCCCTAAATTGGTGACATGAGAAGCAACAGTTCTTATTTTTTAATGTCTCAGAATTTTTCTCTTCATGTACTTCTCACTCTGGTTTATATTTCTTCTGAAAGTGACATGAGAAGTAACAGTTATTATTGCTCAATGACTATGCATGCATTTGCTTCATCTACATCTTACGATGATATTGTTGGTTTAGACTTCATATGTAAGAATTACTATGATGGGTTGAATTTCTATCGAAGTTGACAATAAGATGACACTCAGAAGCTATCCTGAAAAAACTTGCAGAGATAAAGAGAAGGAAGGGAATGGTTACTGCTTTTGTCGCATGGATTTCATAAACGCATGTATACTTGAATTGCCAGACATGGCAACAACCAGACAAGCCCTAGATTGTAAAACAACAATCAAGACTAAAACTTCAAGCCAAATTATGATGGCTGGAGGAGATATTTTTGCTGCTACTACATTCAAGACTAAGGCTTGAAGTCACAGAGCTATATCGGTTGCTACAGAGAAATTTTTTGAATACTATCTTTAGTTTGTTAAATTACAAGTAAACTTTGTAGGTAAAGAACCACTAAAATGGATCTATGAGTTCCATCAAGTTTTGGTACTACATAAATGGAAATAGACAGAAAACAACCGTAATTTATCCTACAAAGCTTGACATATCAAGAATCATATCAACTGCTAAGTAGATTCATATATTAACATCTGACCAAAGGCAACCAAAAAACTGACTTTACAAGTAATAAAACAAAAAACCCAAAAAGGAAAGGGCATAAAAATACTAATAAAAATTAAAAGGGAACATAATAAAAAGTTGACTTTACCACCCAAAGAGGCAGAGCAGGCAAAGCACCTACGACAATGAGTCCAACCAGACCATACCCAATAAAGTTCTGCACAACCCCGATCAGTAAAACCGACCAAATTGGCAAAATTTCACACAAACTCCCAGCAATGAAACCAATAGCATCTCCTAAATCTTTGGCCACACCCAGCATAGACACTTGCCTTTGATTATAACCCATGGTGCTTTTTATCACTGGAGATATGCTTCCAAAAAGATACCCAATTCCTGAACAAGATTGAACCCACATTGAGGCTACAAAAACCGCCCATTTGTTGTTGAAAAAGGATTTCAGTTTCTCAGGAATTTGAATAACCATGCTGCTGTTCCTGATGATCAAACTATGCAACTAAAAGCACGAAAAGGATTTTTTTTAAAAAAATTTGGTTTTTTGTTTTTTTCTCTGTATTTGCAGGAAAATGAAGAGTTGCCTGTGGTCTTGGCTAGTGCTTCAGTCCAAGATCGTCTTTAAGGCTTCTGTGGCGTGGCTGATTGGGGTTTACTAGTAATGACGTTTGGCGAATGAAAAAGTACGACTGTGGCGACTTGGATTTCCCATTTTAATTTGACCGAACTCCTTTATTTATCCTTTTTTTTTTTTGGCTTTATACAGGTGGGGGAAAAAAAAAAGGAAGAAATCCCTTTGTGAATTCAAATGTGCATCCTCTATACACACGTGTATAATGTTTCTAAGATTTCATTATTGTTAGTTCTTTCTTGTCGTGCCATTTTCTTTAAAGTAACAGAAGTAATCACACCAACTTTTGGAGAAATAATTGGACAGTAATTTTTCAAAGAAAAAAGTACTACGTCTTCCTTCCGTGCACATATTTTTTAATTATTTTTTTATTTTTTATATATTAAATCGTTACAGTAATTTTTTTACAAAAAAAAATTTTAAAAAATACAATCCAAACAAGGTGTTTCGAAAGAATGAGAGTTAAAAGGGAGTCAAACCTCATCTTATAATTTTATTATGTGCTGTCGGGATATAATTGATTTAATGGGGATTGCGTGGATTCTTAAACTTAATTGCCGTTATCTCTGGTTTTGAAAGGAAATAAAGCTGTTAATTTGCGTGGTTTAGATATTTCAATCTTGTTTTAGAGAAAAAGCCTTGAATTTGAGAGTTATTTTATCCAATCCGCAGAGGTTGAGTAAAAGATAGGGTGACTACGACAAATAGCAGGATTTTCCTCTTTGCAACAAACATTATTATTAGATGAACAAATTTCACTATTCGAATGCCAAATAAGAAAAACAGCCATTTCACATAGGATTATTCAGTCAGATGTTAGAGTGCTGAGTAGGTTTTACCTTCTGCGATAAGAAACAAAAACAGCTTTATTGATGAATACCAAGTAAAAACACGTGACTTTTACACATGCTACAACGAACAAGTTTCATCCAGTGAATTAGAGTATGAGAGGGGCGAAAGATGAACCAATTACTCAATAATCGAATCGAATTCTAATTTGATAAAATTTCGTTTGAACTTTGGTTCACCACCCAAAGTTTGAACAGCATTTTGTATCCGTTAAACTTTCAAGTTCGACTCTAACTTGGCTCAATTAGTTTAAAATAACAACAAAAACAGCTAATCCAAAAATACCCAGAAGTTTCACACCGTGAACAGGAGTATGAGGGTCGAAAGATGAATCAAATTACTCAATACTTGAATCAAATTTTAATTTGATAAAATTTCGTTTGAACTTCTGGATTTCCACCTAATCGACCAAAGTTTGAACAGCACTTTGTATCCGTTAAACTCTAACTTGGCTCAATTAATTAGTTTAAAATTGAAATTTATAGGTAAAAACACTCAAACTACTCGAGTTCAATTCAAGTTCGACTTGATAAAATTTCATTAGAATCCGGTTTGATAAGCAAATCAAATTTAACTACGATTTTAATTTTGTTAAAATAATCAAACAAGCCTAAATATTAACTCTCCGTTTGGATTAGTTGTTTTTTGAAGTGTTTTTTTTAAAAAAAATTTATTGTAGCAGAGTTTTTAGAGTATATTTTAGGATATTTTTAGAAAATATTTTGAAATATTTAAGAGTGTTTTTAGTATAATTTTTTAGTGTTTTTAAAATATATTTTGGGATTTTTTTAAACATTAAAAAAATTTAAACTATTTTTTAGAGTATCTTTTAGAGTACTTTTTAAAAATTTTTATAGCATTTGAAAAACTGAAGGATCCAAGTAGAATAAAAATGTTCGACTTGACTAGATTTGTTTATATCATTAAACAAGAGTACGAGCAATTACCTTTTTAATGAACTCCAACCAAGCAAGAAGAAGCTAAAGAATCTTAGTAACCCTCTCAAATCGTCTAACAATGGACCATAAAGAGAAAATCATCACATGGATCCAAGATTGCATATTAATGTTTGGGATGATATACCTTCAAACCTTGGCGTGCTTTGGAGTCATAATTATAGTATTTTAATTTCAGCAGAAGGGTCTCAACGATTGATGGAGCCCAACATTCAATAATATGCAATCTTAACGTTAGATAATGTGAACATTAGATAACATGCAATCTTAACATTTAACTTCAACATTAGATAATATGAACATTCTTAACGAATTCATAAAGTAATTAGGGATAATTTTAAAAACCTCCCATGAGGTTTCTAAAAATTTCATTAGCCTTCCTTGAAGTTTGTAAAATTACACAAATAAGGTTAAGGTTTTGATAACAAAACTAGTCCAATTATAAAAAGGAACATTAAAAGTACTTTAACGAGAGAGATGAAACCTTTATTCCATATATATACATGTATATAAGTTGTATTAATAAAAGAATAAAAATAATTAAAAATTAAAAATAAATAATGCATACATTTCATTACTCAAAAAATTCATATTTAATAAATTAGACAATACAAATAAGCAACAAAACTATACTAATGATCACAAGATTCAACAAAATAGACTAGTCATCTCTTTTGATACGATGTTTGCTATGATTCTTGTGATTTTGAACAGAAAAAATTTTCGAATTTTGCTTTTCTTTTTCCTCCATTCTCCTTTACTAATATTTGACGATTTAGTAATTAAAGCACTAATAAACTATTAGTAACTAATTAATGAAAATAACAGTTGAAAATTTCTTTAATGATGAACGATGATTGTATGAACAAAATAATATCAATTGATATACCTAATAGAGAAATGAGAGGAAAAAAAAAGGCAAAATTTGAAAATTAACCCATTCAAAATCATAAGAATCAAAACAAACATCATGCTAAAAGAGATGCCTAGTTTGTTTTGCTGAATCTTGTGATCATTAGTGTAATTTTATTGCTTATTTATGTTACCTAATTTATTAAGTATAAATTTTTTGAGTGATGAAATGTGTGTATTAATTATTTCTAACTTTTAATTATTTTTATTCTTTTACTAATACAACTTATGTACACATGCATAAGGGGTATTTATGAAATCAAAATTTCATCACTCTCATTAAAGTACCATTTTAATGTTACTTTTTCTAATTGGACTAATTTTGTTACCATAACCTTAATCTCATGGGAGGTTTGTGTAATTTTGTAAATTTTAGAGGAGGCTAGTAAAATTATCGAAAATCTCAGGGAAAGTTTCTGTTAAAAGTTAGGGTGCAATTTAGGTATAACAATGGTGCATGTCTTCGGATGCTCATTAAAAAAGAAAAAATCTTTAATTATTATCTATACTTTGTGAAGTAATTTGCTCCATCTTGTTTGGTCCTTTTTTTTCTCAGACAAGTAGGAGGTTGGTTTGAACTCACGGTGTCCTCGTTAGAGTACCTCCCGCTCTGTCACCTAACCAAACCCTTTCCCATTAGTATCTCAACCGACCAGCCCCAGACAACTTGTACGCCCAACCATAATAGAAAACACGAGTTAATAATTTCCGGCCACAATCCTCCAGTTTTAATAATGGGAAAACATTTTGTTCTCCCAGGAGTCATGAAAAAATCTCAACTGTTCAGATCTCATTCACATTGTTCAATCTTGATTAGACAGAAATTAGTAAATAAAAATGCTAAACTTGAAAAGCTTCAAATCTCATTTACTATGATATGGCGTTTAATTGAAGTACTTAACTTTGAAAAACATTTCTTGGTCACTCTTAATTTTTTTTTTTTTTGTCAGCAACGATACATTTGTATAACCTACTCTATCCTAATCTAGGGGGAGGGGGAGCCTAAGGAGGCTGTTGTAGGAGTTAGTGGGTATATAGACCCAACTAGACCAAGGGAGTGTTATGACACAATCCTTATATTTTTTTTCGCTGCTGGTGAGGTTTGAACCCTCACCAACAGCCCAAGGATGGACTTAAGTCCCTCCTTGGTGGCCATTGAGCCATTGGCCCAGTGGTTTCTTGGTCACTCTCAATGGAAAATCAAGTTTTTCATCCTGAACAATCAACATTTTTTTTTGGTTCTAAATATGAGCAGTAAAATTGACCATTTCCCCAATCAATGAATGAAGGAACTTCAAATTTTTTTTTTTTTTTGCACACAAAAAATTGACCATTATCCCAATCAATGAAGAAAATTCAAGTGGTTGATGCGGATTTGTGAACACAAAAAACTCTTCTTTTTGGATTAATTGGAGATTCTAAGTCATACGTAGGGGAAAAGAGAAAATGGAGCCGAACTGAAGATGCTTTCGTATTCCTACCGGTTGAACTAAATAGATATTTGAAGAACTCTTCATAAGCACAAAATTCACACGAAATTTAAACTTTCCAAACAAAGAAAATGAGTAGCCATTCATGTCACACCCAAAGTTTGTCTTGATCACATTTCTATGTAATTTCAGATTTATTAAACCGGTCATCAACTCATACATTACATTTAA